TCAGCATTTTTACCCTTCTGAAGTGCGCTTTCTCCCAGCTGCCATGGAAACATGGCGTAACTGGTTTCTTGGATAGTCTCACTCCTCTTGAGTTCCGGCTGAGAGAGCTAGTGAGCTCATTACAACTTGGATCAGAGTCCTGGAAAGTCAGCTCCCAGGGAAAGTGGAGGCCAGTCTCTCATGGGGCACGAGAATGGGGGGCTTCAGCTTTATTAAACTGCACACATACTTTCACTACACAGTCATCCCAACCTTTAGCTCAGGACAGTGTCACATAGTTCACAGCTGTATTGCATCTTGAGGTTTCTGTGTGCATCCTACACACTTTCATAAGGCAGGGACTTATCTCTTCCAGCTGTAAGCCAGAGGGAGTGGTGCTGCAGACTCCTAGCAACACATGCGGACTCAAACAACACAGGCAGTTAACTCTCTTGAGTAGTAGACTTTTAGGGCATCAGAACTCCGTCGCAGTTCACTGACAGTTACCAGATGTACATTTGTATGGCTTCGGTAGCACTGTGATGGAAACTAAACATTTTCCCTGCTACTTCCTTCTGGTATGCCTGAATCACTGTTTGAGAATGGATTGGACTTTGGTGCATAGAAAACTGGTGGCAGAAGTCTTATGCACTGCAGTGGGTTGGGGTAAGCTGAAAAGATGTCAGGGAGGATTAACTAGAGGCAGAATGTGTCATAGTTAGAAGTATTTAGAAGGAAGGAAAGTTTGAACTGCTTTAGGGAAACTGAGAGCACTGCTAGAGCAGGAACCTTCCAGATGCTTGTCTCTGATACTGTTCCACACTAATATTCATGCCCTGAAAGAATCAGATCATTCTTGCCTCTCCCACTTGGATCTCTAGCTACTGGAATTTGCCAATTCTTGATATGAACTCTAAGATTTGGATGGAGCTTGTGACCTCATTTAGACCATTTGTTCTGAATGCTGGATAGAACCAGGAAAATAGGAAAAGAGGGTAGAATTGGGGTCATAAGAGAGGAATTGTTCTATGAAAGAAGAAAGATGATAGGAAACTAGGCACATGAGTTAAGAGGCAGTGGAGAAGGAGGATTAGAAAGGGAAAAAAGAAGAGAAACTTTGTACCAGTATCTTCTACAAGATGTTTGGCTGGCACAGAACTAACACTCAATACTTTTGTATAAGTAAAGGAATGAAAGAAAATTTGGGAGTGAATGCTTATCCCTTGGAAACTGCTACAGGCTGGTGTTAACGGGAAAGCGATCTGTTAAGCGATCTGTATTTGACCAAAAGTGCATTTCCACGTCTCTACATTGCTTTTTATAAAGAGCCAAAGGGACTCAATTATGAGTGTGTGTAAGGGAACTCCACACTAGCAAGTATAGGAGAAATTCGATGGTACTGGTGAAGGATGTTGTACCAATCTGGAGGGGAGGACAGGAATTGGTTTCTTAATTAATTAATTAATTAATGCCGCAAGACAACTCATACCATGAGTTGGCTGAGACCACTTTAAAAAGTAAGCAATGATGACTGGGCAAAAGAGACAAAGGAAGAACCACATCTTTTAGGGGAAAGAGAAAGAAGGACAATTAAAGGGACCCAACTAGATCAAGTTCTACTCACCAAAGGACAGTCTCCAGGCAAACGTTAATTATCTTCAAGAAGCAATCAGTATATATAGCGTTTCAAGATACTCCAACATGCTTTAAATTTATTGAATACCTTTTATTGGCGTTCATCATAAACAAGAGACTCACAGATATATCCCAGAGGGGAGATTTTAGTGTAATTGACTATAGTAGTTATTAAATAATCTATTAATAAAAGCCCACAAAATGGAAGATAGAAAAAAGACAACACAGGTTGGTATACAGAATTTATACTTGAAGTTTAACAACATGGAACAAGAAACTTTCTTAAAATATGCATTTAAATCATTTCCAAATGAATCACCAGAGGCTCTTAGTAAAATATTGATTCTGTTTCACAGATCTGGGTAGGGCCTGAGATTCTGCATTTTTCATAAGCTCCAAGCAGATACTGATGCTACAAATCACACTTTAACTAACAAGGACCCACATAGGTTCTCTGTAATAGGTGTTGGTAGTCATCCATGGTTAGATGTAGGTGAGGACTGCCCTCTTAACCACCTCTCGGCTGCCAGGTTATAATGAAAGCAAGTCTCAGAACAAGTTCTGTCACTTATGAGCATTTATTAGCCAGTGGGTACAAAACAATCTTACAGCCTGTGCCAGAGACACAGGGAAGTCACAGTTCTGTCTTTTGGGGTGCTGGGTGTGAGAGGCTCACAGTCTGCAGAGACCACAGTCCTCTATTAGAGTGGTTCTCAAAGTGTCGTCCCTGGACCAGCAGCATCAGCATCACCTGGAAACTTGCTAGAAATTCAGATTCCCAGGCCCTCCCCAGACCTACTGAATTAGAAAATCTGGAGGTGGGGCCTGGGAAATCTGCATCTTTAAACTATCCACTCCAGGTGATTCTGATGTTTGCTCCAGTTTGAGAACCATTGTTCTAGCAGCAGGATTCCCTCAACTGTCTAACTGAATTCTGACAACTAAGAATCCAGTGAACCACAGCTGGACATTTTGGAATTCAGCCTAGGACACCATTTCTAAAGATGGAGAACGTACTGGATTCTTCTTAAACTTAATGTCAAGGCAGGGAATGTTTCTAAATGTTTTTCAACAATCCTCATATTTTACAAGCCACTAATACCACTAACACAAGCCCGTCTAACATTAATTAGGATAATTAATGAAACCCCTGGTATAATAAGAGCTAAATATAACTGAATCATTTACAGTGGCTGCTTCTGGCTTGAGGCTTTTTGATTAATTTCTAGCCAACCACCCTTGGAGTTCATTCCTGATTAAGACAACTGACCACCTCTACAATGTAGCTTAAGCTAAGACACACATACATCATAGCATACTGTTCATGTGAGTGTTTTTAAAGACTTAAAATTTACCTTTTGAGGGCATAATTTAAACACTACAACATGTTTCCATTTTAAGTGTACATGTTGGGTTTTGGCAAATACGTACATACACTCGTGCAACCACCGTGCCAATCAAGATATAACATTTCGATCACCTAGAAAACACCCTTGTGTACCTTTGAGGTCAGTTACCTACTCTCACCACACCCCAGGCTACCATCTGGCATAGTAGCTGAGTTTTGCCTGTTCTAGAAGTTGATATAAATGAAATCAAACAGTATGTACTGTTTTGTGCCTGGCTTCTTTTACCAGCTTAATGTTTTTCAGATCAGTTCACATTGTTGCATTATCAGTAGTTAGTTCCTTTTTATTGCACAGTAGTATCCCATTGAATGACTTTACCACAATTTGTTTATCCATTACCTTATTGGTTGGTTTCCAGTTTTTGACTATTATGAATAAAGCTGCTATGGACATTCATGTACACATCTTTTTGTGGACATTTTTATTTATTCTGTACAAATATCTGGGGAAAGAATATTTGGGTCATAATATACATGTATGTTTAATTTCATAAAAAAATGCCTCACTGGTTTCCCAAAGTTGATGTACATTCCCAACAAGCAGTGTCTGAGAATTCCAGTCACTCCATATCCTCACCAACATTTGGTATTCCAGTCTTTTAAACAAAATTGTATGCTGAATAGTTTAAATTATAGACATCATTTTCTTTCCCCTAGTTTAAATTCAGGCTTTTATGTTTGGTTTCTGCAATGGCCATAAAGCTGAAAATGTTGACCCAAGTGACTTGGATATGGATTGAATTATTGCCCTTTCCTAACACCTTGTTAGAATTGGTTTCGTAGGTGCCATTTGATTATGGCAGTTAGTCATGTATGTCAGCGTACTTTTTCTTTCTTTCTTTCTTTCGTTTATTGATTCGTTCAGTTGGTCAATTGGCCCATGACCTGTATTAAAACAGCTTTTTCAGAGAGGAGTTGCATATTAAGTTGCTGGGAAAAATGACAGAAGTAGGTGACAGAGTTCTTGTCTTCAAGGAGCTTTTTGGAGCTGGGTTCCTGAAATAAATGTAGCCCAGTATCTATCAAGGCTTGTGCAGACTTGAGTAAGAACATCATCTAAATATAGCTTCCTGCTAGGTGACGTGAGTCAGGGCTTGATAGACCAGTGACTGCAGAAACCACAGTAACATATATTGTTGTTATTCTGTGCTGAACATTAGAATGATTGTACCTTAGAATATAGAGCCAAATGTTTATTTTAATCGTAATTGTATTTTTAAATACATAGACACATATGTTGGATAAAAAATACCCAAAATGTTAACAGTGCCTATTTGAAAGATTTATATAAACTTTTTTTTGTAGAGATGGGATCTCACTATGTTGCCCAAGCTAGTCTCAATCTCCTGACCTCAAGCACTCCTCCCACCTTGGCTGTTCAAAGTGTTGAGATTACAGGCATGAGCCACTGAGTCCAGCCAATTGTGCCTATTTTTGAGTTTATAGGCTTGTGGATGATTTCTTTGATTTTATACATATATATATATATATATATATATATGTATAAAATGTCTAAGTTACCCAAAGTGAGCATGTGTAACTTCTACAGTCAGAAAAAATGTTATATTGCCACTTGATTGTTTAAGGTCTTAGAGCTATTTAAATAATGTATTGCTTGTTCTCTTTGATCTTGTGCAGCAAAAATTCACTACAGTAGATCCAGATTACTTTCCAGAAAAAAATAATACCTGTCCATCTCTTTCCTCTTGGAAACAGGACTACATGAATGCCCTTCAGGCTATACCACTGTAGTCTTCACAGAACTTAGCCTTCCTGATTGTCAAAGGGCAAAAGGAATTATTTTTTCTTTTCCCACATTAACAGAATTTTCACCTCCGAAAGCTTGGTGCATACACACAATATTTCTTCTAGGCTATTTTTGTGGTGGTTGTAGTTATTGGCAAATCCCTGGGGGGGGTGGGGGTTGTCTGTGTTTTCTGATGGAATAACAAATGATCTTTGTTTTCCCCCTTTTCAGCTGACCTGAATAATGTCAGGTTCTCAGCTTATAGGACTGCCATGAAACTCCGAAGACTGCAGAAGGCTCTTTGCTGTAAGTATTGGCCAGTACTTGAAGATCTTGATACTATGTCTTTGCTTAGAATAAAAAGTAGGTTGGGTACATTTTTACTTAGAGAGGGGAGAAATAGCTGTCACAATTCCTGTTACAACATAGAATTCATTCTTTAATGTATCCTTGGCCTAGAGTTTGCCTAGAATGTTTTGTTTTATTTTTAGAATCATTCCTGTCACCATTCCTCAGCTACTGATGTTGAATTAGGATATTGATAATTTTTATTTTCCAACTACTGGCATTGGCATCCATAATTACCTTTGTGAAACTTGCACTGTCTCTCCTTGTTCTACCTTTGTTTTTTTTTTTTTTTTTCTTTTTACAAAATGTACTTAGTATTAGAAGACTGTGACTATCTGATCCAAACCAAAGTTTATAGACGTGTGTGGTTTATTAGCTTGAATGCCAACGTGAAGATGAATGATGTGGTAGAGGAAAAATGACAGAATTGCTTTCCTCCTTTTTTATCATACATCTGTGGAAAAATCCTGAAGTGTTACACAGCTCTATCATGTCATCAGATAGTTTATGTATAACTCTACTATTGTCCAAGGGTCTGTATGCATTGATGACATGCCCATGAAACAGGCACAGTTTCCTTTTTTTTTTTTTTTTTGAGTTGGAGTCTTGCTGTATTGCCCAGGCTGGAGTGCAGTGGAGTGGCGCAATGTGGGCTCACTGCAACCTCCACCTCCCGGGTTCAAGCGATTCTCCTGCCTCAGCCTACCAAGTAGCTGGGATTACAGGCATGCACCACCATGCCTGGCTAATTTTTTGTATTTTTTAGTAGAGACGAGGTTTCACCATGTTGGTCAGGCTGGTCTCAAAATCCTGACCTCAGGTGATTCACCTGCCTCAGCCTCCCAAAGTGCTGGGATTACAGGCGTGAGCCATTGCGCCCGGCCCAACAGGCACAGTTTCTACTCTGAAGGAACTTACAGTCTAACAAGGGATAACCAGGATGTTCATAAAATTTGTAGACTTAAGCAAATATATGTATAATGTATTAAGAATGTCTACAGTTGGTTAGAAAAGAAAAGTGATCTTGTCTCTATTTCCAAGACCATTTATTTCAATGTCATATATTTAGTTGTGCAACAGTGGGATAATGGGGCACTATGTGAACAGCTAACTGTGTGGAATGAGATTCAGAGAATGTTTGAAGAGGTGATGTCTAAGCTAGGTAAGTCTAGAAGAGTAAGCAGCTCTCCCTCTAGGAAAAGTGTTCTAGTCAGAAAGAAGAGCATGTACCGAAGGGCCCAGAGAAAGCATGACACATTCAGGAACTGAAAATATGTCAGTATGGCTAAAGCACAGAATTCCAGGGGAAAGATCTGTTGTGAAATAATAGGCTGGAGAGAGAAGCAGGAAGCAGATTGTGCAAGGTTTTTAAAACCCAAGTTAAGGAATTTAGAGGTCAGGAGATTTGGCCTGGGAGTGATATAATCAGATTGTCGCTTAGAAAGATGATTCTTGCTGTGGAACAGAGTATGGATTGGTGTGCTGTGGGAGTGACAGGAGAGAAACCTGTTGCGGTAATCTAAACCAGCAATGTTGTGACTTGAATTAGCAGAGTAGTAATGGAGATAAGTGGAGAGAATTTAGAAATATTCAGGAAGTGGATTTGACAGGCCTCGATGATTCATTTGATGTGGTGCAGGGGTGTCCAATCTTTTGGCTTCTCCGGGCCACATTGGAAGAAGAATTGTCTTGGGCCACACATAAAATACACTAACACTAGCGGTAGCTGATGAGCTATAAAAAAAAAAAAAATCGCAAAAAAAAAAAAAAAAAAATCTCATAATGTTTTAGGAAAGTTTACTAATTCATTTGGATCTCATTCAAAGCCATCCTGGGCCGCATGTGGCCCACGGGCCACAGGTTGGACAAGCTTGATGTGGTGGGTGAAAGGGAGTCAAGGCAGACACTTAGGTGCTTGGCTTGGAATATCAGGTGAATGGGGACTTGTCTGGTAAGGTTAGACACGGAGCTGTGGTGCTCAGGAGAAATATACAAACAATATTTAGGGATCATGAGCCTGTAGGTGCTGCTTGTAACTGTGGAGAGGATTGGATAGCTCCAGGAAAGTGTAGAGTGAGAAGGGAAGTTATTTAGAACACAGGATAAGCAACCTACAGAAGGGACTGCAAAGGAATGGCCAGTAGGAAAGAAGGAAAATTCCAAGAGGTTATGATGCCACATACTCCATGGGAAGAAAGAAAGAACCCGTCACCAGGGTCAGATGTTGCTGGGATGTCAGGATAAAGTTGTGGAAAGTGCCCATTGGATTTAGCAACAGGAAGGTCCCTAGTAATTTTGGTGAGATTTTAGAGGCACAGTGGAAGTGGTGTGGTGAGTTCAAAAGTGAACGGGAAATTAGAGATGGTATGAATGATTCTTGGGGAAATTTACTTATGAAGGGGAGAAGAGTGGGGTGGTAGCTAGTTGGAGGGGGCTGAGGAGTTCATGGAAATGTATGTACAGTCAAGTGTTGCTTAACAATGGGGATACGTTCTAAGAAATGTGTTGTTAGGCAATTTTGTTGTTGTGTCAATATAAGAGTGCACTACACAAACCTAGATGGTATAGCCTAGTACACACCTAGGCTGTATGGGATAGCCTATTGCTCCTAGGCTATACACCTGTACAGCATGTGACTGTTCTGAATACTGTAGGCAGTTGTAACACAATAGTAAGTATTGTACATCTAAACATAATTAAACATAGAAAAGATACAGTAAAAATATAGTATAATCTCATGGGCTCGCTGTCATATAGGCAGTCCATTGTTGACTGAAATGTCATTATGTGGCACAATATGTGTATATAAATATGTGTGTGTGTATATATGTGTGTATGTGTGTGTATATATATGTACAGTTGATCCTTGAACAACATGGGTTTGAACTGCTTGGGTCAACTTAAGTGGATGTTTTTCAATCAAATGCAGGCCAAAAATACAGTATTCCTGGGAATGTATTTATATCAGTATGAGAAGACAGGGTGAGATTACAATTATTGGCCCAAGAGGAGTTGATAAATAACGTGAGTTCTCAGAGAATATGGGCAGGTAATCCAGAGCCCAAGGGAGGGAAGAGATACCTCTCTTCCACTGTAATGGGTGGGGTCGAGGGAAGGATCTGGGCAGGTCCACGTAACTAAGAAACCAGGTAGCAGTAAGGTGAGGGATGTCTTACTGTAAAAGCTTCCGTTTTTTTGTATGGAGAGGAGAGTCCCTGCAATGCAGTTAACAGCAGGAGATGATGAAATTGGGCTTATCTTTGTGGAGAATAAGAGAGATGGCAGAGTTGAAAACCAGCTCTGTGAACCCAGAGGCGGCTGAGTGTTTCACGGTAGCACCAGTCTGCAGGGGTGTGGTATTCCCCAGGCACACTTAGCAGTTAGGAGCCAGATGCTTCTGTCCTGGGGTAGGCAGAGAACAGCTGGGCAAGAGAAGTGAGGATTTGGGCAAAAGAGTGATTAAAATGATACTGACAAGTCCCTGTTGGGTAGGAGAAGCTGTGAATGCATATGGAAACTGGTAATTAGGAAGTAGAGGGATGAAAAGGCTAACTCTTCAGGGAGGTAGGAGAAGAAGTAGTAAAGGAACTGAAGGTCAAGAAGTTGTGGTTAGAGAGAATCATAGATGAACATTATTTTGAAGGTGGAACAGTTTCAGGTGATCAGATCTAGGGTATGGCTATTTGAGTAGGTGGCAGAGGTAGAGTGGATGTGAATTTCCATGGAGGTGAAATAGCAGGTTAAGGAACTGAGAGGCTAGAGTGATGCATGAGTCCCCCATGCCAGTGTTGAAATCATGCAGAATTGTAGTGAAAACTGGGCAAAAGAGAAGGACCATGAACCCTGGCTGCCAGGTCTTCAGAAATAAAGGGGTTCGACCAGAGGATCTGCAGAGGCTAGCAATAAGATAGTCAAGGAGTCACCTGGCATATAGTTCTTACACGGAGATAGAGAAGAAATGCCTTAGAAGTGGAATTATTTGGAAAGAGAGACTAGGCCTTTTCCCTTCATCTTGGTATCCCCAATGCTTAGCACAAAACCTGGCACACAGCAGGGTTCAATATGTTTTCATGAAATGAATGCATGAATGAAAGTAAACCAAGGCTTCCATTTCCTTGTAGCCTGAAGTTAGCATTTTTCAGCTATATAGCTGCCAAGTTTAACTGGCGTTTAAAGGGCTTTCCAGGTCGAGGATTTCCTTAGGACCTGTTAATGCATCACAGCTGGGAAAAAGTAGTTTGGGATGGGATTGAGTCAGGGGGCTGAAGAGAGAAAGTTGTCTTGCCTCTTTCTCTTCTCCTGCCCCTGCCCCTGCTCCTGCTCCATCCCAGAGCTACTGTTTCCCTTTAATAAAGGAGTAATTAGGCACTGGGTTATTATGAAGTGCTATAGAATATTCCTGTGAGATCCTAAAAGTTCAAAAGATAACCAGTTGTTCCAGTTTGTACTATGAAAAAAAACAAAACAAAACAAAACAGAAATAGACCAGATGGAAAACCTCATAACAACTGTTCCTTTCTATAATGTCCATTTTCACCCTGGATTTAGGCACTATTCGATTTTCCTGTTCAAAAAATCATTCCATTCACATATGTGTTTTATTGTCTGTCATTTCAACTTATAATTTCCAATAAACATTGGGAAAATGGGAGAATTTAATAATATACAAAATTTTGTCCATTTGAGGTGATAACCTTGTAATAAAGGTAAGCTCTGAATGTAGAACCATTTCTTTAAATTTTCACTTTTAAATCAATTTGAAATTCTCTGCATTTCCTTTCTGAGCTTGGCTTTTCTAATATGTGAAAAAAATTCAAGTATGCCAAAATTGAGGTGTATTTCTCTAAATTAAGTATGTAATTCTCATTAATGCTAGGAGGGTGCCATATATAGTAAGACTATAGAAGGAAGAGTTCACCGAATCCTTTTATTGAAAATATGTGTGGTCACATTACTTG